GATCATTTAGCCGACATCACATAGGGTTAGGGTTAAGCATTTCATTAGTTGCAGGTATATATTTTTACTAAATTTCATCTGGCGTGATGTCGTCTAAATGAGCTGTCGGTGAAGTGATTGTCGGTGAATCAATACGGACCCATAAAGTTTAAATAATGTAATTCTTTTATTTAATTTGTATTAAATTTTAATAAAAATAGAGACATAGCCTCACCTTTGAAGATTAAAAAAAATATTTAATACTTTTTTTTTTAATGTTAAAGTGACCACTTGGGGGTCTGGCATGTTTTATTAACTTCAGTTGCAAATATCAGGGCAGCCACAGAACCACCTCTGACTTTGTTATATTAACAAAAATACATTCTAGTCATATCTGCGCCTTTTGAGCATCTAATTAAGTATCTACCTATTACTAGGTTCTATACTAGATGCTGTATCTATAACATACTATTATTTAAGTTACCTATTTAAACCCTCTGATCAACTTAGCACTGTCAGATATTCTCTCCAAAGAGGAACTGCCACTAAGGTCTTTTAGAACTACTTTATCTTTGTGATAAACCTACTAGAGCAGTCCATATCCTATATATGTATTACTTAGATTTTCAGTAACTTACGCCTAGGCCAAGGCCAAATACTTGCGAGCTGAAGCTGCTACTATTACTTACTCCTTGCCCTTATGAAGTTCATCTAAACCCCAGCACCCACTTTATGGACTATCACTGATTTTTCTAGTATACCAATAGCATCTCCAAACTTCTAATCCAGATGGCCCAAAAGGAACTTACACCCCTGGTATTCTGATGAATCCTTTTCTCTATATACACATAGCCTGATTGGTATGATGCCTTGCCCAACACTCAGTCTTCGTTCAGTTTGCAGTCAGGTCTAATTGCAGATGATTTTCCTTTACATAGTACTGTCAAAGATTTGTGCTACCTCTCTATTTGGGACTTGCCAAGCGGGCTTCTATATGCTCTGGTCCCCTAGATTTACCCAGATCTATTACTTGGGTTTCATATAATTCTTGCATTATACTACTGTTCCGGATCCTCCCAGTATAAGCTGGTATGACCAAGGTTACAGATGCTAATCTGCTGGATTACACACAGTCTGCCATAACACATTTTATAAAATTTAAATTTCATTACCAGTGAGATTCGAACTTTTGTCCTGCTGCTTGGGGGTGCAACAACCTACCAACTTCACTAAGTCACCACACCCTTTATTAATTTTAATACTTATTGTATACTATAATAATAAGTATTAAATAAGTAATTAATTTTAATATTTATTTTAATTTTTTTTTTTTTTAAGGTGAGGTTTTGTCTTTATCTTTATTAATAATTTGTATTGAGAATCTACAAGGAGTTTCTCTGGCTGAACCTACATTTACAAATTTTTATATAAGAATGAGACTCAAACTATTTTATCTGTAATCTAAACCTACTAGAGTGGTTAAAACTCACCTAGATTTAATAATTTATTATATTATTAGTTGGTATACTATATTTAATCCATTGAATTGTCCATAAAGATATTTTTCTAATAGCTTTTCCAAGAGGTGAACATGTATTATCAGTATGTTGTTGGTCTGATAGACCACAAAGACAACTGTAAGTATAAATTTTAATATTTATTATATATTATAATAATAAGTATTAAATAAAGGACACATTTATTTCTTGCCCAGGGTGAGCCTTTACCCTTTATAACAAAATTTGAAAAAATGCTAATATCTCAAAATCTTACTAAGGTAACCCTGTTGTATAATATAAGCAAAAATGTTCTTCTCACAATTTTACCTTAGCCTACTCTAACCCTAACCTTAATTCTAACCCTAATATATTAATATGATCAGGGTTTTCTTATGTACTTAAGGGAGGTGAGTAACTCACTCAGATGTTAAATAAATTATTTCTTAAATAAATTATTAATTTTAATACATTTTTTTTTTTAATATTAAGGTAACTACTTGGGGTCCGGTATGTTTTATTAACTTCAGTTGTGAATATCAAGCAGCTACAGGACTATTCCTGACTTTGTTATATTAACAAGAGTATATTCTAGCCATATCCACACTTTTGAGCATCTAATTAAGTATCTACCTATTACTAGATAGCATTGAAGAAGTTCATTTTGATTGGTTGTTATAATGCTCAGAAAAAATATAGATCATACCCCGGATAGATTATCGGCTATACCCGGATAAGGATGAACTTTAATACTCTCTAATGCTAAAGACGCTTTTACAGTACTTTAATTCAGTACATTAATTCAGTTTAATAATAACTGTTTTAATTCAAATATCACGATGTATATATTTGTATTATTTATTTTGCAATAGGTATATCTATTTTACAAAAAACACTTTAACTTTCGCAATACATCTATTATGCGTACTTAAACGATTATAAACACTACTACTATTACAACTTCTTGTATCTATAAACATTATATTCATAAACTATATTCATAACCTAAATAAATACAACAAAAAGGTTTAGAATAGTAGTTCAAAATAGTATTTTTTTATTTGTAGAAGGTAAACAAGACCAGTTAAAACAAAATCTTACAATTTTCACTTACTCATTACTTAGTTGCCGAACCACCTTCTGACCTTTCAAAATATTCACTTCTCATTTAGATTCTTGATCTTTTGTATCTCACTGTATCTCATATTAAAAAACAGTAGATTTAAAGGTGAAAAATCAGTTGCTTAAATTCGTTGTTTTGCTACATATTACAAAAAAAAATTTTTATATGCCGTGACGATTTTTACTAATAAAAGTATTTTAAAAATTATAATTGACTGTATAAATAAATGATCGTTGCCAATCATATTTATTCTAATTTTAGCCAATCAAAACGAACTTCTTCAATGCTCAACATGTACACTTCACGCTCCAATTGCAACATAATGACTAAACTTTCGAATTGGTTGGAAAAAAATCTTTTTAAAAATATTAAGCATGACCTTGAGTTTACGCTTCAAACTTTAATTGAATTGGAGCCACCCTTGAAAGGAGACTTATCTGAACAAAAAAAAGCTTTACAATTGTTTATTTGTTCTCTATTCAAAAAAAAACCACAACTGCAATAAACATATAAATCATTGTACACGTGGATCAATAAATCAAATGAACTTAAGATTATCGACCAAAGGAATCGTGCAGTTTTTAGAAGAACACGTTTTTTTTCCAATGTAATGCAACACGCAATTGGAAGTCTAACAGACCTCGCACTTAAGAAAGAGTTACAGGAGGCAGGAGAGTTGCAGGAAGTTGATCAGGAAGCCAAAAATAATGACAAAAATGATAATTATAATGTTGAAAAAGATGATCAAAAAGAAAAAGATCAAGGTGTACAAGAAAGTAAAAAGGAAGACCAAAATAATTTGATTTTTCATGTATTGTCTTTACAAATCCCACAGCGATTTTCATTTCCACCTTCAGAACAGAGCACATATGTAGAGCCAGTTCTTGAATATATAGAAAAGTCACTTTTCCGATTTATTATTAAACATGAACAATATATTTCTTGTAAAACTGTAGAGAACTTTGTTTTGAAATGTAGCCTGCCAAAACAAATTGATTTCTCTGATGCAGATTTATTGTGTATTCTCAATTTCATGATTCAAAACATATCCCTGTTCACACTTGGTCAACATCAAACATTGTTTTATGGACCGTACAGAACTGATCCATCACTTCTATTCAAATCCTTTAAAGTTGAAGCTAGGCATCATAACGCATATGGAGTAACACATCTAGAAGGAAGATGGAGTGATGAGAAATTACAAAGGCTTTTAACACTAGCATTAGAAGTAATCATATGTCTTGGTAAGCTTTAAATATCACAAATCAGAATGTTATTCTTACAGTGTTGACAAGAGGTTCTCTTTTTATGCATGCCTTGTTATTATAGAAGATCACGAAGCATTCGAACCGCTTGTAAAAAATCAAGCATAAATTAGATACTGAACTCGCCGAATGACTGACTTTAGCAAGAAAGAGAAAGCACGAAGAAGAAGAAGAAGAGTGTAATGTGAAGCGAAAATATTTGTCAAATATCGAGTATGGAGAGTTTACAGACTTTGTTTTATATATAGTTAGTAAGCTGGAAAAGAATGAGAAGCAAATAGGACAAATTGTATGAATAGCTGTGGCTAAGAATGACATATTGTTAGACATATGTGATAGTTTAATAACTCGGAAAGATGAAAATGCAAAAATAAAGAAATTTGTAGCTCTTATAAATTTCCAATTTGATATGATAAGTACTTCAGATATTATTTCTCAGATTTTTAGCTATTTTATGTGACTAACTCTGTAATACTATAAATGATAGCATCTAAAAATCAAAGACGAGGCTTGAAATTATAATATAGTTTTTTTTATCTAATATAGATAATAATGTTCTTTATTAACAATATATAATGATGTAATGCATAGATGATCTATTTTTTAGTAATATGAATATACTAATCAACACTAAAATTTTATAATCTCGCATTCACATGCATGTCAAAATAAAATATTGAGACGGGAGGTTTTTACTTCTTACTTTTGCCAGAAAATATTTTTGATCATATATAGCATCGATATCAATACAAGAAAATAAATCCACAAAATACACATGTAAAAGTAAAACTGATTGTTTAGCCCCAAAAGCTTGTTTACTAGTATAACCCATATAGTAAATCACATGATACAAACCGTTCCCCGAGGGAACGATCAGAGATATATGAAAAAATTCTTGACCAAATTATATGTGGTTAGTACAGTAATATACATTAATATCCATACAATGTAATAAATTCACGAAATTTATATGCAAAAGTAAACTGATTATGTATGCAAAATTGGCTACTAGAGCCAGCTTTATTGATATGATAAGAAAAGTAAAAAATATATACAATGCATTAAACAATGAAAAGAAAAAAACTATATACAGATTAAACAAATTTATGGTAAGAGGGAGAAGGTATAAGGTTCATTATGTAACTTATCAAGAACCACATTGATCAAATATTTGGGCAATTGGTCTATATCTGTCACAATAATGAGATATAGAGGTAGTTGTTCTGATTCTGATAGTTCTGACTCCAATGGTTCTGGTGGTTCTGCTATTTCTAGTGCTGCATTTATTACACCAGGAGTAAAGCTATCTATAGAGGGACCCACTATTATTCCAATGGTCCCTTTTGGTTGCTTAGTTCAAGTAAGCACACCAAGCAACTTATTCACAACTAGGCGATCTGTGAATATATTTAATATGATTAATTGAATCTGTAATAATTTTAACCCAAACATCTAATTTAATATAATAATACCTATATCAAGTCTGATCCAATTTTTACATTGAATAATAAATCGTGTTGTGGCAATTTCATATATAATATCAATGCTACTGTCACCCGATCTTCTAAATTAAAATAAAATGTGAATACTTGCATCATAATCATCAACTAACCAAAGAAGTTGCACAGGCGGAATAGTCAACGATAGTGCTTTCTATGTTAGAGTATATTCTATTTATCATGAATTCCCAGTGCCTAGGCATCTCAGGAAACACCAGAAACTAGAAAGAAAGAACATTGGTTACCAAAGTAACCACCATGATGTGCTTTCAATTTCTTACTAGATATTTATACCGATGTGACAGCGTAACTTCGAATACACAACAACTCGACAAATAATTCAATGAGAAACTTACCCTTTATGGATAACTTTACTACCAATACTCTTTAGCGTTTTAACAAGATCCACTTCGAATATTAATCCTTTTATATAGAATGTTTGTACAATCACTACTGTAAGAGCAACAGTCTCCCCTTCAATATGAACAAATTCTTCAATGTCAAAAATCATTTTTGTTTTTTTAAAAAAAATATTAATCAAAAGCGATGAAAAAATAAAACAGAATCACTAAAAAGCAATAAATAACAATGTCTTTACTATACTGCCCTTTATAAATAGGTTTTGACTGTCTCTGAATAGTAGTATAAAGAGAAAGACAATAAAGAAAAAGCCTCATATACACTTTATGCCAATTTTTACATTTGATATTACATTACATTTGTCATAGGGTACTCTAGACATGCAAAATGTACATTAGAGATCTTGACATCTTCGGCATTACGGTATAGAGAAAGATTACTAAGTATTATATTTCACTTGACCACCTACTAGAGCTTTTAGTTTTTATTAGAGAACTATAAAAACAGAACTATATATACATTTTGGGTAGAATAGTTAAATTTTTATACAGGCTTTGGAATAGATCTAAAGCTTAGGTATTATTGTTTCTATGAACGTTCATAAGAAAAATTCAAGGATTTGGTTACACAAATAATGTATATGTCATGAGATTATTGACCGAATTTGGGTTAGAATACAATGCTAATAACATTAACAAATGATACTTTGTACTTTTTATCTGTTCCATATAAGTTATGCATAATGCAGTAATGATAAGCTTTGTAAGATATTATAGTACAGATAAATTTATACGCATATAGAATTTACTCTAACACGTTAATGAATTTTTCACATTTATATCTGCTACTTTTTTTACATGTTTTACAATATAGGTGTGACTGATGATTGCATTCATTACCTGTGCTTCTAACCTCTTAAAGATGTGCCACTTTCTGAACTTAAGTCTAGCTTTTTATTTGTAAGTATATTATTTTGATTTTTTATTGTTATACATATTAACAGAAAAAATATACGTAGCTAAAATTTTATTATACAAACTGTGGGGCACTTGTATTTGTGACCCGTTTACAAACAAATTATATATAAGCCTTATAAAGTAAAAATACTAGTTATACATATGTATATGAAATTTGGTTTTATAAAATGTTTAAAAGCGAATTTATATAAATTTATTATAACATTCCCCCAATATACAGTAAAAATAATAAAAATAAAATAAAAGTTGCTAACCCAGAGGTCAGCTGTGTAACAGTTATACAAGGCACAGTATATGTATGATTTTATGATTAAATGTTATCTACAATATAGTCAATACTCTCTCAACTTAATTTTGAAATAGTTAGAGCTGAATAAGATTTAACCCATTCTATTTTATTTTTATTTTTTTTTTTGAATATTAATGGTGAGACCATGTCTCTGTCTTTATTAAAATTTAATTTAACTCTCATACAAAGCAA